CAAGGTCTCAACCTGGTGCCTTGTGCCATCAGGAGTTAAAATATTAATAACTCCATCCCTTTTTTTTTTTACATGGGGAAATGCCTACGCATACCCGCCTCGCGGGGGGAAGGACGGGTTTTGTCGGACTCGCACCGACTAAAACCCCATGGTGTTCCACCCTCGTCGCATATTGGCAGGGCCACGGGAACGCTTTCGCACACTTCCGCGGCCCCACCTGCGTTGGCCACCCCATGGCGGCTCCTCCTCGGGAGAGGACCACTCCTCCCCCATCTCCTTCTCCGGTAAGGCGCACCAGAACACATGGCGCGCCCTCCTCCTCGGCCTCCAATTTCACATGCGCAACGGACGCCCCCGTGTCCGATGCGCGGAGGCCATGGGGCCAGGAAAAACCGCCGCCAAACAAGTTTCGGCCGCGGAGGGTAGGGAGAGCGGCGCCTCGCAATACCGACACTCCTCTCCCCCCGCGGCCCCACCACCACCGCATCAACGGTGCGGCCCCGTTTGAGTCGCGGAGGATAGGGCGAGTGGCGCATCGCCATACCAACACTCCTCTTCCTCCGCGACTCCACCTCGGCTGCAGCAGTAGAGGGAGCGGACACCCTTCTCACCGCAGCCCACCAACACACATCCGAAGTGGGCTCGTCAAGCCCACTCGGAGTGGCCACCTCGGGCCGGTCCTACACCTCGGGCCAGCCAAGGGGTCCTCTTTGTTTACCGCGGTTGACCAAGCCACGGATACTAAGCCCCCCCGCCACGACAAGGCGGGAACCCGTTCGGGGGAGAATAACTCCATCCCTGGTCCAACATTTGGTTACGCCAAACCTACGCCTAGCTTCAAGAAAAACACTGTGGCGTCTCCTTGTAAGAAACTCCGACTGAGTTATACCTGTGCCCTTAAGTTTGGTTTTGGAGAACCAAACCTTGTCTCGCATCACAATATCGCTGAATTTGACAACCACAGGCCTGGAAGATTTATCGGAAGGGCGTCCCAGACGATGACAGCGGCTTATGGATGTTTTACTGAAACCTGACACTTGTAGTTTCGTACTGATAAGTGTACTTATGACGGTGGCAGTTTCCTCAGATTTTTCTTCAAGAACTCCTTGGAGTAGGATCATCTTCCTGCGGCGACGCATTTCACTACGATCTAGCTCTCTTCCCAGAAGATCTACTTGGTTATGCAAAGATGTTAAAGCAGCCAAGATAAATTTTCTAAATGCATTAAAATCACCAGGTAGGGAAGATGCAGTTGAGGCGGCAGAACTAGATTGTTGCAGTTCCCGTTGAAAGTCATCCATTTGACTTTGGAATGACTTTGACATCTCAATTAGTGAACCTTTCAGTGCTTCCATGGTGAAAATAATTGTGCAGTGCAGTGATGTTAGAGAAAATACTTGGAACTAAGTGCAGGTAGGTAGTTATTTATTACATGTAAATAATTAACATGAAATTCAAACTGTAACTTTTTTTTTAATATATTTAAATCTAAGATGTCAAAAATGTGTACTACTCAAATCACCTACCCTCCTATAGTCTAATTTTTTTGTCACGAACGGAGTTAAAACTAGTACCGCTGTTGTGGGCGGGAACACGTGTTGTTCTTTACGGATTTATAACTTCGTGTCATCGTGTCATCTAGCCCAGGCCACCTACACACAGTCTCACACAAATACCACCTACACTCACTACACTTTCATCAGCCGGGCAGATCCTGGTGAACAGTCTCTGCTCCCGAAGCAGGTAAGTGCCTTCCCGTTAACTAGTCTTCCCCTTTGATTGTGATAGGATATTTCCCAGTGGCTTTTAGAGGCCCGACCTGCGTCTACCCGTAGAATTCCTGCTTGGGCCCCGGGATAGCCCACCTTTGCAGGGATAGCCGTAGGCCGTATCAATAGTTGTAGCACGAATGGGTCGGCTCGACCGGGGAGGGCCACGCTCTCACAGAATACCAGCGTTAAATAGCAGCTTAAAACTGTTGTGTTTCGTATGGTGAGTGTAGAGAATCGAAGACCCTTTTTACTGGAAACGAGGCATTCCAGTTCTTAGTCCTCACGGGTGACGACGCATCTGCATTTTGATTTGTAATCGAGGATAGATGTAGATGTCTATGGGCCACAGCAACCACTTACCATCAAGTGGACTGTGTGCTCGTTTGTCACCCTTATCCGTGTATAGAAATATGTGACGTATGACATAAATGGCCATATCATTTAATTGCTTTGCGTTACTGATCAGCTTAATTTTCTTTTTTTGCATCTCCAAGGGACCGTAGACCTTTGTATTTGAAATTAATTTTAACTTAAAACCATTACCTGTTCCTGAGAAAAAGTGTCTTGACAGACGGGCACAGTCCACCTGGAGAAATAATATTCAATAAAAAAATGCGTGAGTGTCGTGGAACACTCGGTTGGAACGAAGTTCCTTGCGTAGTATATTATTATTGACAAACGTATTATATTATTGATTAACAAATACAAAAAAATGAATTACTAGCTTCTATTAAAATGAAGCGTCATTTGAAATAAAATAATATTTCTTTCATGGCAAGATAAGAAAAAGTGCGAGGGAGATGGATATTATTCCATCTCACTTCCTTATTTCGCCGCCAAGTCAGTCTACACTATGACACAAGGAGTAGTGACGAAAAAATCTTACACTTTTTGTCGCCTAGCTCCCATACGCCAAACCCGTACCGTCCGATAACGAACTCCGTTCCAAAAATACGTTTCACTTTTTCAATAGAATGGCATAAATTATACGTATTACGAGGGCGGCACTGAAAATTTCGGGAATCAAGGAAGTGACACAACATTACTATTTAAAAATGTATTTATTGGTTTTCGAAGTATTCTCCGCGAAATTTGACACATTTTTCCATACGATGGAACCAATCATTGAAGCAACCATTCCATTCGGAAGTTGGGGTCTCCAAAGTGGCCGTTTTGTAGGCGTCCACAGCTTCTTCAGGTGATGAAAATCTCTGTCCACGCAATTTATTCTTTATTTTAGGGAAAGTATAGAAATCATTAGGGCTTAGGTCGGGGCTGTACGGCGGATGGTCTAATAATACTATGTTTTCTTGCTCTAAAAACTCTTTTGTTCTGTGTGCGGTGTGAGAACTCGCATTGTCGTGATGGAGGATGATGCGGCGGTTGCAGTTCTCTTTACGGAGTTCAGAAACGACCTGTGGCAAACAAATGCTAGCATACCATTCTGTATTAACCGTTCTTTGTCCCTCAAGAGGAATAGTCGTAACATGGCCGGTTTTGGAGACAAACGTGGCCACCATTTTTTTTTGCAACACTCCGTGAACGAACAATTTTTGTTGGCTTTAACTCATTTTCGAACACCCAAACTCGTGACTGGTTTTTTGTTTCGGGTTCGTACGCGTATATCCAGGATTCGTCAGCTAATACGATGTTGTATACAGCATTTGAGGATCCTGCGTGGAATCTTTTGAGAGTTCTGACGCACCAAGTAACGCGAGCCGCTTTTTGCTCTTCACACAGCGAATGCGGTATCCATCGGGAAAATAACTTTTTTACACCTAATTGTTCATGCAAGATTATTTGTATTTGACTCATGCCAATGTCTAAAGTTGCCTGAATTTCGCGGTATGTCACATGTTGATCTTCCTCAATCAGCTTACGCACAGCATCAACGTTTTCTTGGGTGACTGCAGTTTTTGGACGACCTTGACGGGGATCATCACTGAGCTTGACACGTCCACGTTGAAATTCAGCAAACCAGCGATAAATTGTGGTTTTGGATGGGGCTTCATCACCAAATGCAGAAATCATCCGGTCAACACACTGTTTTTGTGTTAAATCACTTCGAAAGTCATAATAAATCATCGCTCTTGAATTTTATCGAGTCAATTCCATTTTCTCAACGACTAAACAAGTTTGACAAAACCTTGTGACAAGACCGAGAATCTTTTTTTAAATAAATAAATGGTATTCGATTTTTAAAACCAAGGACATTTTATATTAAAAAAAAAATTTAATATGACAGGAACAGTGGAAATATTCCACTCCCGATACTTTTAGTGCAGCCCTCGTAAGGTGATAAATTTTAGATAAAATCTGGAAAGCCAAAAATCTTGAAAACTGTAACGGTTTTATTAAAGCTTTTTTGGCAATTTTCATAGGGAACGGTCCCATCTCTCGCCAAATTTCTTTTGGACTATTATTTACAGGGCTCCCAGTATACATAGATAAAACTAACAGATGTAACATCACATTTTTAATTGTATAATAATTACGCATAATTATACTATGCGTAATTGTTACTTCCACCCCAAAAAAGCCTGAAAGTTTGAACTTATGAGTTACGTTCAATACGTGCCCAAAGAAGGTTAGGTACTTCAACAAGTTTAGTTCCAATTAAATTTAAAAAAAATCAAAAATCGTGCACAGACTATACGGCAAAAGCAACTTATGAGCACATTCAAAACACGTAAACACCTTATGCGGGGAATGGCAGACGTGTCACGTAGGAAAAATACACAAAAAAACCCGACTGTCCTGTTTTGTCAATAAGTTAAGTGTCGTTTAAAATATGCTGAATGGCCTTTTCTGATCGCAATAGCGTCATTTTTAACCTAAACGTGAACTGTAAAAGTAAAACTATTGACGGCTCAGTGGCGCAGCGGCTTAACAGCGAGTTGCAACGCCGAGGGCTTCGAATCCCGCACATATTCATTCATAATTCGAAGTATATTGCAACTTGGTAGTAAGGACAATGGAAATTGCAGCCAATTATTTTTTAAAAGCCTCTACACTAATATTTTCTCTTGTATCGCAGGGGCACAGTTTACATACATAAATTTCACAAGAACAAAAATCCAGATCCGGAATAATTATTTGTAGGCCACATTTGATCTGTGCGGAATTCGAACCCGCGGCCCGTAGCGCTGCAACTCATTGCTAAGCCACTGCGTCACGGAGCCGTCGTCGTTTATTGACCGACTACTTTAATTCCTTTTCCAGGTCAAAATGGCACCAGACGTCTCTACGATGGAGATGATCACCTCGGACTCTGAGCAAAAGCTGGTGGCACCACAAGCGGCGCCGAGGAAGTTCCAGATCGTGTACAGAAATCTACTTACGTTCGGATACGCGCACTTGTCTGCACTGTATGGACTTTATCTAGCCTGTACCAGCGCAAAATGGCAAAGCATTTTCTTTTGTAAGTTGACGCATTTTAGCTGGCTAAATTGACTTTCTAGTATACTTGACGCTAAAAGAAAACTAAGCCATTCCAAAATTGAGAAGTTCCTCTTTATTTTGAAGACGGTTAGGCCACGTTCACACGGCGACCATTCATTTCGATTTTTTTACGTATACGGTTCTACCGCATACAATGCAATCATTCACACGGCACGCGCGCGAGTACGTACGATGAGATTCTCGAATGCGCGAGTCGTGTGAACGAGACAACATGAACATAAGCGCCACTGGGTGTCTTATTCGATGAAATCGTTTCGACGCGCCGCATTCTCAGTGGCAACATCGTATGGTATACGGTAAAAATTGTATCTCGAACACGACATTTTTCTGTATGGACTCCATGTGAACAGTTTGACATATTTTCTACTGCTACTGCTATATTCGATAAAATCTAGTGTACGGTGTACGGGAAAAAAATAGCTGTGTGAACGTGGCCTTAGGGTGTTATTACACCAATCGATCGATCGATGGTGGAATGGATTAGTCGACGTTGATCGAGTTTCTACCACACCGAACATCAATCAAAATCGATGACATCAATCGATGGTAGAATGGATAAGCCGACTTCGATCGAACAGCTTAATTATTCGAAAACCCACCCCGCTTTATCGACTGCTATTTATAATGTCGTCTAGATGAATTTAAGCTATCTCTGGCCTTAAAAAACGGTCACATCCAGAGTCTTCTGCGTTTGCGTCTACGTAACAATAATACGAGCAAGAGCGAATTGACCAACAATAACGCGTCCTCTTTTGAAACATACTAAAACACAAACAAATTACATTTTGAAAGATACTGATGATGAGCCCACAACCACATCGATTAATTGTCGATCGACGTAGATCGATGATTTAAGAACTGTCGACCAGTATTCGTCGATCAGCTAAAACTACCACAACAATCGATCGACACCGATTAATGGCATCGTACGACGATCGTTCGACTGGTATGGTAACACGCTTAGTTGCATCAATATTTATTATAAACAAATACTCAAGCGATTAGTCGCTAAACTAAGGCGGGTTTTTTAATTTTTTATTTCATTTTATAGAATACAAGATTTTTTAGGATAACTTTTTCGTCATCAAATCTGATTTTCGTCCTTTAAATTTCCAGTTTACATTCTGTTCGTGCTGTCCTCGATCGGCATCACAGCTGGAGCCCACCGGCTGTGGACGCACAAGGCCTACAAAGCCAATATGCCGCTGCAGATAATCCTCATGTTGATGAACAGCCTGGCCTTTCAAAACACCGCTACAGATTGAGTGCGCGACCATCGACTACATCATAGGTAAGGAACAGTCTATCTGGCCTAGTTTAGTTGATTGTGCGTAAATTACGCAATATCTTCGTCCACGACTTTTTCTTACTTAAGAATGAGGAATGAAAATTAATATTTGACAAATTTTATAGCGGAGGAAACCATTTTTTTTTTTTAGAAAAGTGTAGACAGTAAGGTTTCTTCCTGAAATATTTTATATTAATTAGATTAGAAATGGATAAACCAAATTACGTATATTCCTAAAGTAGAAGAAATTAAAAAAGTAAAAAATTTAAGAATTAAAGAATTCACCACTGAGGCATCATTTTGTATAATATAATAATACTCATAATAATAAAGCCATTTATTCCATATCATCACTTTCTTTTTACATTTCTGTATTTGTTAGTAGGTTATAGCTTAAAATTAAGAAAGAAATACTTATAATTAATGTTATTATTGTTTATAAGATATGACCCCTGTTTGAATAAAGGTCCCCTCGATCCTTTTCCACGACTCCCTGTCCTTGCCTGACTTCTTCCAGTCGTTTCCTGCGACGTATGTTAGTTATGTCATCAGCCCACCGTCTTAATTGTCGACCGACATTCCTTTTCCTCTTTGGTCCTTTCCATCGTGTGGCTTCAATGGTCCATCTTCTATCTGGGTATCGTGAGATGTGCCCGGCCCATCTCCACTTTAATAAGAGTGCGTGCTTAAGGGCATCTGTAAGTTTAGTTTTATGATGAATGACTTGGACCTTAATTTTATTTATTCTTCTAATTCCCAACATGCTTCTTTCCATTGCTGTTTGACTGCATTTGATTTTTTGTTTAATTGTGTTTGTGAATACCCAAGTTTAGCAGCCATACAGCAAGCAGGGTAACAGGCATGTATCAAATATTATCTCTTTCATGTGCAAGTTGTAGTTCCCTTTGAGGATTTCTCTTAATGCCCAAAAGTTCTTCCAAGTTGCGTTAATTCTTCTTGTTACTTCTTCTTCATTGCTTGACGTTTTAAATGAAATTTGTTTACCCAAGTAGATGTATTCACTGACATATTCTAAATTGATGCCTTTTATCGCTATTGGGCATTCACGACTGTTGGTTATAATCTTAGATTTACCTGCATTCATTTCTAGGCCGATTTTGGAGCTTTCGCAGTCAAGTGATGTCATTATTTCCTCTAGGTCTTTGGCGGTTTCAGCTATTACAACAATGTCACCAGCGAATCTCAGATGGTTTAAATAGTGTACGTTGATGTTCCCTCCTCTATTTTTCCAGTCTAGCTTTTGAAAAATATTTTCAAGTACTGCTATAAACAGTTTTGAGGCCTCGTTCTATTTTTATTTCGTCCCCTCTACTTTCTAATTTTATTCTGCTCGTGCTTTTTCTATAAATATATTTCAAGATATTGATGTATTTAGAATTAATGTTTAATTGTTGTAATGCGTTCCAGATTGAACAGTGCCTGATACTGTCAAAAGCTTTGCTGTAGTCAATGAAGGCCACGTACAGAGGTCTATTGTATTCTATGTACTTTTCTATAACCTGTTCTAAAGTCTGTATGTGGTTCATTGTATTAAAGCCTGATCTGAATCCCGCTTGTTCCTTTGGTTGCTGTTTATCAATGTCGTCGTATATTCTCTTTAGTATTACGGATGAGAATAATATTTATATACTTGCCATCAGACTTATGGGTCTATAATTCCTTATGTCCAAGGGGTTTCCTTTTTTGAAGAGCAAAATTATGTCTGATGTACACCATTGTGTTGGTACTATTTCTTCGTCTAATATCATATTAAATAGTTGCGTTAAATGGCGGGTTAGAATAGGTGCTCCTATTTTACGGGCTTCGTTGCCTATTCCATCTGGACCGGTACTCTTCTCAGCCTTCAGCTTTTTGACATATTCGTAAACTTCGGAGTCTTCAATTGGTCCGATGCAGTCACTCGTATTTATGTGAGTTGCTTGCGTTTCCATTTCAGTATTATTTTGTTTCTTGTATAAGTTTTTGTAAAAGCTTGTTGTATGGCTTATTACATCTCTTCTATATTTTGTTTCTTTGTGAGTTGTGCTCAAGTTTCTGAGTCCATGATTTGAATGTAGTTAATCCTTTATAGGCTTTTTTGGCACTTCTAAAATTCACGATGTTTCTTGAAATAATCTCATATCTGTGATTGTTGTGGTCCTTACGGATTGATCTATTAGCCTCTTTGTATATTCTGCTAAGTTCTTCTTTCAGCTCTTTGGTTTTATTCTTTATGTGTAGTAGTTCCATGCGCCTTTTTATAAGTTGAACTGTGTCTTCAGAGAATATATTATGTTGATCAGGCATTGTAGCGTTTTTGCATTTTAAGCTTTCTGTTATACCTCTTTCCAGGATATTGTAATTGGGTGTCAATGCACACTGTTTCTATATATTCTGTGTGTGCACGTAGATTTTCGATGTAATTTTTGATCTCTGCTTCTGTCTTGGGGATTTCAGGTTGTGTTGTGTTCTTTATTGGACGACTTAAACGTAGTGTTGCTCTCACTAATCTGTAATCGGAAAAGAAATTGATTTTGCTTAGTACTTCAATATTAGTTACAAGCTTATGGTAGTTTATCATTATAAAATCTATTTCATTTTTAGTTTTTTGGTCAGGCGATAACCATGTCCATCTTCGGTTCTCCTTCTTTTTAAAAAATGAGTTCATTATTGCCAATTTGTGTTGATAAGCGTAGCTTAAGAGACGTTCACCTCTTTCATTGCGCACTCCGTAAGCATGTTTTCCCATTATTGGGTAATAGTTTGCTTGTGGGCAACCAATTTTAGCATTGAAATCTCCAATAACTATAACCTTTCCTTCGGTCTTGGTGTGAGCATATTCAATGTCATTGTAGAATTCTTCAATTTCTTCTTCCGTTGATCTCTCAGTCGGTGAATATGTTTGAATTATTGATAAGGAGCAGCATTCAAATTTTACTTGTAACAGTGCTACTCTTTCTGAGATTCCTATAAAGTTGGTAATGTTGTTTTAATATTTTTTCTTGATCAGAAATCCTACTCCTTTGGTTTCACCGATGTAGCAAAAAATAAGGTAGTTATGGTTACACCAGCACCACCCATAATACAGATAAAACGTCCATCAGCATAAATACACAAATGCTGAGTATGTAGTAATTTAAGTAGACTGTAAGCTTAGGATTAAGAATTGTAAAAGACAATGACCAGAATAAATTCGCATCTCTCTCTGTGAACACGTAGTTTGTATTTAGTTTGTATTCAGTTTTCAAAAAGCTCTCGGCAGCTCGCGCAACTTGACTGGCGCAGCCGGTAGGATCACCGGAAAAGCTGTGCCACCGTTCGTGAATATCGCGTATATAATTTTACTCATTTTCGCGTATCGGCGGATGATCCATACAGCGTGGTGATCCAGCGAACCAAAACAAATTCGTCGAGAATAAGGAGCCGTGAAGCTGATGATGGGCACTGCGGGCTGGTGAGTACGACTCTTCACCTCCTTCATATCCCTTAGTAAACTTGGAATTAGACATTTTCCATTTTGACTGTTATTTGGGTTTCAAATACTAATCTTACGTAAATTTTATAAAGTATTAAGTGTCATAAATATTACTTAAATAAAAATTAAAATAATATTAATTTAATTGTAATACGTACATAATAATAAGACCCATATCACTCAATAAAGTTATAGAGTATATTATATTAAGTATTATACATTATATTAAGTTCTTATTGTGTCTACATGTGTTTGTTAATTTAAAGATTACTCGACACGTTAATACATAATAGATTAATACTTATTCTCGAATTTTCCTTACAACATTTGTGGAACTGGTAGGGTTATAATAAATATTTTATATTATTTTTTATTTTTGTGTAGAACCAGTGAATAAATTATTAAAAATGTCGGAAATCAAACTTATCCCTAACGAATTAACTAAAATAATACCAACATTTAGCGGCGATAAGCGCCATTTAAATTTATTTTTGCGTAAATGTGAATATATAATAAGTAACTTTAAATCATCCGATGTGCAAAATGAATATATAATGCAAATCATTACTAGTCCTCTTACGGGCGAGGCTGCGTCGCTTATCAGTGAACGGGAAGATATAGAGACGTGGGCCGAATTCAAGGAATTGATTTTAACTCACTTCGGCGACCCACGTAGCGAGGAATGTTTAGCCATAGAATTAGAAACTTTAAAGAAACACCAAAATGAAAATTATACAGATTTTTGTGGTTGTATACAATCCGTTAAATCAGTGCTATTATCGAAGGTTAATCAAATTGGTGATAAAAACTTAAAAATAAGTAAAACTATTATTTACAATAACACCGCTCTGCAGATTTTCTTATACAATTTATCCGAAAATATGGTGCGTATTGTTAGGTTGAAAACACCCAGTACACTAGAAGAAGCACTAAGTATAGTTCTAGAAGAAGTAAACTTCTATGACCAATATCAGATGCGTAGTAAAATGTTACAGTCTAGCCATACGTCTAAGCCACAGTCTAGTAGTACACTAGTGCAATAACCATCGTTTAAGTTCGCAATGCCAACACAGCCTACAGGTTTTAGACCAATGTTAGCACAAAACCAACCCCCTAGGCAGAATTTCGGAACACCACCTCAATTTAAGTTTGGCATTCCCAATAGTAGACAAATGAAGATTCCGTTACCACAAAATAAGCCTCAACAGCAAATGAGTTTCCCTAAGCAATATCACCCACCTCAGTTTGGATACCGACCTAATTTTGGATACCGACCAAACTTTGGATTTAGACCCCGGGGCTATAGCCCCATGCAACCAATGTTACCACAACAGTTTGGTAACTCTCAGCGTTTTAATTATCCTAATAATAATAATAATGTGCATAATAAGCCGGTTTCTAATGATACTGATGTTTCTATGAGAACTGCCCCTCCAAAGCCTTTTCAACCAGGTTTCCGCCTAAACGAATTAGAAATTTATCCATCATACTATCCCTACGAA